TCCATACAGAACACCACCGAACACCCGTGGCAACGCCCGCATGCGGTTCCACCCCTCAGTTCGGCGCGCCCATCACACGTTTCGTGGGGGCCCCACCGAAGGCCCCAGTGGCAGCGCCCGCATGCGGCTCCACTTCCAATCTCGGCGCCCCCCTCACACGCTTCGTGGCCCCATAGGGAGCTCCACCGAAGGCCCCAATGGCGTACCCGCACCCATTTTGGCACACCCGTCGCACGGGCCCTGGCCCCCTAGGGAGCTCCACCGAGGACGGTACTCACACCTGTGTTACTCACAACTGCCTTCGCCCCGGTAATTGATGCCATCCCGTGGCCCCGGTGAAGGGCCCACCGGCAAGCCGAGAGCAAGGAAGGGGCCTCCAGGACAAGTCTCATCCCGGACCCCTCTCCCTCTTTGGCGATATCCCCCATGTCGTGTGCCCTCTCTCCTCCATGCCGACACTCGGGCCTGGCGAAGCGGGGGGGGGATCATCGACCGCGCGTGGAGGAGAGTGCCCAGCGATGGAACCGACGCAGCAAATTTCGCCCCGCCCCCCCCTAATTCGAACGATCGTCGGCCCGTTGGGCGCCTCTCGCCTCGCCCGAGCGATCCTCGGGAGGAAGAGGAGGAGGAGGTGGAGGAGGAGGAGGAGGAGGAGTCTGGGTACCCCGAAGAAAGGAAGAGGGCAGGCGCATCACGAACAAGCGACGAGAAGAGGGCAAGAATGTGACTCCACTCTTTCCCACTCGCGCCTAACGTCTCCACCTATGGATGTATCTTGTGGTAGCGCTATTCGCTGCGACCAGAGCCGAGGAGTGTGCACCTGTAAACTTCGTTGTGTTCGTCTGAGCGTCGTGCATCGGGCACGCTGTCGCAAGAGTGGGAAAAAGGCGGGATCGAGGGCAGAGCAGAAGCGGATGGTGGGAACGGAGGATCTAGGCCTGCGCAAGCACGTGGGCAGCGCAGCTCAGCACTAGTGCGGAAGATCAGGGGCATGGTGTAGTACGCCACCAATGTCGACGTCGCCACCAATGCGGCGCTGAGAACGTGAACTTGTACGTGTACGGGATTATGTTGAGGCTCCCCAGCGGTGCATGCCAGCTCGTCTGCCAGGCTTTCAAGAGCTACGCTGCAGCAGCGGAGCTGGATGAGGTCCGAACGGCACAAGTACGGAGCGCCAGGAACAGCCCATTCGGGGCGAGCAGCTCGTTCGCCACCAGCGGCAGCAGCAGGGGCGTCTTCATGCAGTCGTTCGCCACCAGCGGCAGCGAAATCGTGGGCAGGGGAATTCAGGGATACTGCGTGATGCAGAAAATCTTCATGCACTCGTTCGCCACCGGCGGCAGCATCAGGAACAACTTCGCGCCCTCGCTCGCCACCGGCGCCAGCGTCATCGTGGGCAGGGGCAGCGGGAGATACTTCGTAAAGCTGCGCGCCTTCACGCACTCGTGAACCACCAGCGGCAGCCGCAGACGCAACATTATGCCCTCGCTCGCCACCAGCGGCAGCTTCATCGCGAGCAGGGGAACCGGGAGGGACTTCGCGAGGCAGGGGGTCTTCAAGCGCCCTTTCGCCAGCGGCGGCATCAGCAGGTATGTCTGCATGCGCTCGTTCGCCACCAGTGGCAGCGTCATCGTGAAGAGGGGCATAAGGAGAGACTTCGTGAGGCTGTGCGTCTTCATGCGCTCGCACGCCACCAGCGGCAGCAGCAGGAATGTCTTCATGCACTCGTTCGCCACCAGCGTGGGCATCGCCGGCGGCGGCGTGAGGCAGCTCGAGAACGTCAGCGAGGGAACCGTCGGCATCGCTCTCATGTCAGTCGTCTGACGTCCACGGGGATCGGATAAAAATAGGTCACATAGGTCGCCACCCTCGGCGGCAAGTTCGCGTAGTTTTGCAGCGACCAGGGCAAGCGGTAGAGCAGCAGGACCATGAAGCACTGCAGGAGCAGGAGCGAGCAGCGAGACTTGATGAAGACGCGGTGCACCACCAGCGGCGGCAGCAGCGGGGCCGGGCAGAAGATCATGCTGAGCGCCGCCATCGACGGCGAGCCGCCGAGCTTCACAACGAGCAGGTAGAGTGGTATGAAGGTCGCCTCCAGCGAGAGCATCGCAAGCGTCATCGACGGCGCAGCCGGCGGGCTCCCCAGGAACAGGGCGTGGAAGCGGACCAGCACTTTGTTGTAAAGTCCGATGACCAACTCCCGCATCGATGGCAAGAGGTGGAAGTGGTCCAGCGCCGTGCCGAGGAGGGCCGCGGGGGCCCTCGTGGTCAGGCTCGTGGGCGCGGAGGCGCTGGATGAAGCTTGCGACGCGGTGCAAGTTGTCGCCCCGCAGACCCCCGGCGGAACTGGCGGGGGCCGATCTCCTTGAGGGGCAGCGGGAGCAGGCGGTAGGAGAGCCTGTAGAAGAAGAGGGATGCGTCGCAGGCGTCGGAGGAGTCCCAGTTGCAGCGCGCGGCATTCGCGGGTGTAGGTCCTGGCCGCCGAAAGGCAGCGCGGCATCTTGTCCCGGCTGACGGCCGCCGCCGGGGCGCGACGAGCTGCGCGATCGGGGTCGCCCGAGCGTGCGAGAGCATGGACATATGGAACCACGGGCCTCGGATGCGGGCGGCGCGGCGCTTGGCCAGGTGGCCTCGGGCGAGACGGCTACGGGGGCCATTTCGGTCAAGTCCGAGATCCCCGATGGGGGGGCGGACATGAGCCAAAATGGCCACAGAAGAGGGGGGGGGGGGGGGAGGGGGAGGAGGAGGAGCGAACGTCCCCTTGCGGACGCTTGGTCTTCCTCGGCGAGCCGCGCTGCGGCGGCGACGCGCGCCCGGCGCCGCCGCTCAGATCAGCGGGCGGGCGAAGCGCGTGGCGGGCGGCAGCGGTGGCCTGGTAGAACGTGTTCGGGTCGTATGCGGAGATCGGGGAGTCTTCGTCATCGCGTGAAGCCTGGTCGCGACGCCCAGGCGGATGGCGGAGCTCATGGCGCCGTTCTCGCCCTCGCACCCCGCCGTCGTGTCAGGCGGGGCGAGGCGCGTGAGGTCCCTGTCGCTCAGAGGCAGCGCGGATAGGCGACGCGGTGAAAGAGCTTGCTGCAGTGAAGATAATGTTGAATCGACTCGGCGGCCATGCAGCCGAATATGCACTGGCACTTCTGCGGGATGACGCGCGTGCGATCGGCGGTGGGCCAGGCGCCAGTCAGCGCCTCGAGAACCGCCCGCGTTCTGGCTGGAGGCTGCGCGGCCGCGAACTGGCGGAGGCGGGCCCAACGTTCGGGAAGATCGGCAGGCACTTCGCTCATCTGGACTAGGTCTGGGGCGTCCAGCGCGGCTTCTTAATCGTTATCGTCGTCATCAGGCTCGATCGGTGGGTCGCCATCTGCAGGAAATAGATCGCGCTGGCTGCGGGCCTGGCGGCGCCGAGCTCGATGTGTCGCGGCGGCGAAGCGGCGGAATGCCCGCCGGCGCTGTTCCTGCGCAGGATCGTTGGCAAAGTCGCCGACCAGGGCCAGCTCCGGGCGGTTGCGGGCCATGTTGGACGCGGCCCATGCTGTCTCGCAGATCTGCTTGGCGAGGCGGTGGCGCTGGGCGTTCGGCGGCGCGGCGCGGCGAACGTGTCGTGGCGAAAAACGTGCTTCGCGTGGGCGGTGCACCAGGGGCCCCAGTCGCTCTTGACGCTCTTGTTGTCCACGATGGGGTCGCCCACGATGATGTCGGGGGGCCAGCCTGCAGCCCAGTGCGCCGCGCGGTTTTGGAAGCGTGCTGGACAGCGGGGTCTTGGCGCGTGCGGGGGGCGGGTGCTTGAGGAACCAAGCCTAGAGGCGTTTCTTGATGGTGATGTGTAGCGCGTCGGGGTGGAGGCGCTCGCGCAGGGCGAGCAGGTGCGCTCTCTGCGACGCGCGCTTGCGGGAGGCGAGCTCCCTGCGCGGGTCGCGGTGATGGAGGGGCGCGGCGGCGCCGCGGCGAGCGGCGTGCTTGTGGGCGTCGATGAGGGTGCCAGTAGCGCGCGCTGCGGTGCCCAGTGATCGGACGGGACTCTTGAAGTGGGGCCCCGCCTTCTTGACGAAGTGGGTAGTATTGGTCACGTCAGCGAAGCGCAAGACGATGGCAGTCGGGTCGGACCAGCACGTGGCGCACCACCTGCCGCTCTGCGCTGTCACGATGTTAAGGTCGTGGCAGGCGGCGTCGCGGAGATCGTTGAACCGCCTGCTCCAGAAGGTGATCGTCGTGGTGGCGGTGCGCCACATCGTGGCAGATAGTAGGAGCTCGATGTCATTCGGTGTCTCGGTGTTGGTCCAGGAGGTCATGCCGAATCTGTCGGACTTGGCGAAGCTATTGGGCGCCACGCGGAGCAGCTTCTGGATGCGCTGGTGCTCCTTAAAGAGGAAGGTCGCGGGTGGTTCGTGCAGCTGGTCGGCATGCAAGAGGCATATGACGGCAGCGACTTTGTAGAGCTGGATGCTTTGCTTGGGCGGTGCGCGCGAGCGAGCGAGCTTTAAAGTCCGGTCCCACCATGTGGCAGCTGGCCCACTCCACTGGCCAAGTAGACTAGCGCCTGGCCCGACGAAGAATCCTCGGTAGCGTGCCTTGTCGGCTATCGTGAAGTGCTTCCAGGGCGCATGGATGTTGGCGAACACAGGTCAGCATCGCGTCGGTCAGGTCGGGCGTCGGCAGCGTCCAGGTCGGGGCGATGATGCGCTTTTTAGCCTGAATCTGAAGTCCTGCAGGTTTGCCAGCCGCAAGAAGATGAGGCAGTAGATGTCGAACATCGCGAAGGCGCTGGAACATGATGCCAAGGTCGTCGGCGCATGCGCTAACCGGGCCGCGCTTGATGGCGTTGAGCTCGTTGGCGATCGCGCGGGTGATGGGGTCGGACATGAGCGCCCAGATCGCGCCGCTGATCGGACATCCTTGCGCCGCCCCTGAGTCGGCGAACAGCAGAGGGCGGAGGGCGCCTCCGAGTGACAGGAGGGAGAGCGGATGGGTGCAGAACGTCTAGAGTAGCCTCCACATGCCGCCGCTGATGCCCCATCGATCTAGCACGGCCCACATCCATTGGCGGTTGAGTGACGGGAAGGCCGCGGCGATGTCCATGAGGGCGAAGACGGGCATGCGGGACTCCGCATCAGCTGTAGTGCTGAGCTTGCGGGCCTCAGCGTCTACCATCGCGACGTTGTGGAGGAACTGGCGGCTTGTGACAAAACCCTGTTACTCCTCAGAGGAGTTGGCGGCGACCTCAGCGATGGTGTGGGTCACGGTGAAAGCGAAGATATTGACGTCGGCTTTCTTTTCTGCTGAGCGGGCGGAGCGTGGCGGGGGTGGGCGTGCATTCCACGCTGCCAAGAGGCTCATCGCGTTTCGGGGGCATGGCCATCAGGGCATGGTTGAGGTCGCGCGGCGCTCCGTGGTCCACCAAGCGAGATTGGCAAGAATGGACAGCGCGCCAGGTGCGCGGAGTCTAATGCGAGGCCCACGAGCTGAGTCACCAGCTCGTCGCGCAACTTGGAGCAGATCATCTTCGCCAGGAAGAGGTAGTTCGAGTCTCTGCCGATGGGGGAATGCGTCGTCGAGGTAGTTGGCAATGTCCGGGTCGGAGACCGTCTTGGCGGCAAAGGCAGGGCCCCAATGGTTGATGATGGCCGCGTGCATCCTGCTCAGCTCGAAGACTGTCGCGGAGGTCGTGCCTCTCTATCTAGATGCCATCGAGAACCAGGCGGCGCGCAAACGGCTGCCAGATTTCAACTTTGCGGGCTTCGTGTCTGGAGCGTTGGCGCCATCGGTCGCCTAGAGCGGCGTGTCGGGCGTGAGTGGCGCGGGAATTGGCAGCCGCGCGTGCGCGTCGTTCTCGGCTCAGGCCGGCGCGGGTCTCGGTGGTCTCCTGGGCGAAGGCACGCGAATCCACCAGCTCGACAGCGTGGCCGTCGATCTTGGGGCACTGGTGGCCGATGTCCGCGTTGTCGGCGGGCTTCGTCGCGAGCGTCGTGTCTCGATGCCATATGGCCCGAGCGATGCTGCGAACAGTCATGCCGCGCATCGCCTTGCTGATGTCGCCATTCTGCGATTCGAGCTCGGCGGTGGGGATGGCGGACAATGCGTTGCGCGCGCGGCGTGCGGCTTCGTGCGTCGGTGATTTCTGGTGGCGCCATTGGTGTGCAGCGCAGAGTTGCATTATGTCCTTGGCCCCGGCGGGAATCTTGTAGTGGTGGGCGTGGCGAGGCGAGTCGAAGATGAAGGCTAGCACAGCTTGCTCTTGAGGGGGGCGGCTTCGGGCAGGGCGGATGCGGGGTTGCGTGATCTTGCGATCGCTGGTCATCCCGTTGGGGGTTTCAAGAGGAGAGTCGCCAGCGTTCAATGCGATACCCATGAAGGGAATGTCGCGGGGCGGGAGCGAGGTGAAGCAGCGTTCGATCGCACTTTCAGAGCGGGCGGCCGCGGCGCGGTGGGTGGTGGAGAGGGTCGTGATCTCGAGCGTGTCGTGGAACGGGTGCTTCCAGAAGGCGGGCTGGTGCTGGTGGCGCCGGGCTTCGATCGCCTTGGAGTTGATCGGCGTGTTGATGCTCTTCGGGGCGTGCTCGGAGATGTTGAAGTCGCCCAGCGTGATGAAGGTGCGCTTGAGAGGATCTTCAGCAGCGCGTTGTCGAAGCTGTTGCCATCGCTGTCGGATCGCGCGGCGGTCGCTGGGCGAGAGCTCGTGATTGTGGATGTTCAGCGCGGTGACGTCGTAGGTGATGCTGATGTCGGCAATTCTGAGCCATGCTGCTCGCCCTGGAACGACTCTGCGAAGGTTCGCAAAGGTCGCTCGTCAGGTGAAAAGGCTTAGCTCGACCTGTTCGTGGGGGGCGACAAAGCCAATGCCGCCGGCGACGGTGGAATTCGGGGCGCCCGAGTGGAAGGCGATGTGCCTGCGCTGCGTGCAGCGTGCGAGGATGTCCATGTTGATGGCGGCTCCGTGTGTCTCCTGCAGCACGATCAGGGCCCGCTGACGCAGCAGTGGTGTGAGCAGTCGGCGTTTGTCTTGGCGGCGCTGGTCAGGGACTCCATGGAGTGCCTGGGCGCTTCAGAAGGCGATGTTCATGCCGCGCTCAGTGGGGCTGCTCAGCCAGGGGGGCCAGCGTGGGCTAAGGCCGCTGTGCGGAGGCCAGCTCGTCGGAGAAACTGGGCTCGATGGCGACGCGGATGCGGGTCTATTGTTGGTCGGTGATTCCGAGGCGTGCTGCAGCAGCTGTCCAGCGCAATATGGTTGGCTCGTCAGGAGTGCCGCCAACCAGCACTTGAACCGGCTCCTCGTTCTGGTATGATATGTAGCCCCGGCTCCTGTGGAGGCGGAGGGTGTATTGGTCGAAGCGCTGGTTGATGAAGGCGGCGAGTCGTTTGAGTTGCACTTCGCGACGGACTGCGCGTGGACTCTCATTGGCCGGGACGTATAGGACAAAAGGAACAACGCCACCTCTTGATATATTGAAATCGCGCCGATCGCTTCCAACGTGAAGTGCTTCGTGAAGTTGCCGCGCTCACGGT